GGGTACGGTAATCATCAGCCTACGCAGATGTCAGAATTGCCGGACAGAGCACTTTGCTCTCCAGTTTAATCGTCCAAAACAACCTCTGGTTATATATTCACTTCCACAATGTGATCCTTGGTCAGCCTGTGGAGATCCTCCCACTGAAGCAAAAATGTGAAGGAAAACCCCGAGTCTGAAAAGCCACAAACCTCAAGCCCATGACAGTCATCATCCGGTCTTATTTAAAGATGGAGGAACATGGTAGTCACCGAAATCCTCTCACCGTTCACAAAAGTATGGAGTGATGAGAAAGTTTCTAACCCACGGGGAGAAGCTGTTGTGGTTCCGATCCACATGAAGGGCTCTCGTAGTGAATGCACCAACTACTGAGGAACCTCACACATCTCTGTCGCGTCCAGGTTTTTTGTGTCCATTCTACTGCGTAGGTACACAGTTACCCGCGAGCGTTTGTTGCTGTGTTTACACTGACCAGATTTTTACGTTGCGGCAAATTCTCGAACATCGTCATGTCCACCAAAGACCAACAATGGTGGTATCTTCTGATAGATGAGCCGCTTTGACTCCGTAGATAGGTCGTCACTGTGGAATTGTCTGCTACGGAATGGCATTCCCGACAAGTTTACCACACTCTTGAAAGAGCTGTATAGTCAAACCACTGGCAAAGATGGACCATATGACAGGCATTCTTCTTCATTTCCTGTTACCAGTGGAGTGCTCCAAGGTTGTTCTATCTCGCGGTTCCTGCTAAACTTTGCCATTGAAGATGTTCTACATCACGCACACTAAGGAGTCCAGAGCTGCGGCCTTGAGCTGCTACCTGGGAACAGAGTCGTGGACCTTGAGCGAACGTGCGTGCAAACCGCTCACCTGTGCACTCGTGGTTTTTTCACTGTGGCTCAGCGGCATTTCGTCGCACGCCTTTGGAGCTATACACATTCGTCGTGCTCTTAAAAGCTCCAAATTGTGATAATATTTTCTCGAGTACACCCCTGTAGATTCTTCTTTACTCTGAATTTCAAATTCCGGGCAATGCTTCGCCGATATCCAAGCGCCAAAATTTTCCTAACTCCAAACTTCGGAGACATTGTTTGGTCTCACTCGACAGAACATTTCAGCAGTTTTTGAACGAACTGTCACTCGTTCAAATCCAACATTGGTTGGTTCAGCTACAGGTCTCAAGGCAAATTCACCCGGTTCGAGCCATAGGCTTAACCAAGAAAATTCTCAATCACACCTTCGGGTATTCTGCCCCACCTTCAAGTTGACACATTCGACTGGCACGCCAGAGAGCACAGTCTGCAAGTACACAACTGCAACGTGAACATTCTGGTCTTACCGAAAACGTAAGTAACAGAACAACTTTTTACCATAGAGGGTGAGTCATTCAAATGGTTCGTAACATTTGCTCAAGAAGCGTGATGCCCAGTGTGCCATAGTATAAAGATCTATGTGGATCATGTTCCAAACTTGTTAAGGGGGCATTTTGTGCCATAACGGTTGCAAGAGTTTCCATGCTGGTCGTCTCCGAGTTAAACCTAGTCAGGCCAACTTATTAAACAAACCAGTCTCGCTATAGTTCTGTGTGAAATGCACATCGATCCCACTGATAAAATGCTTGCTCCTATTATCTCAGAAGTATGACCAGCTACTGGCCAAGTTTGAGGAACTGGTGACCACCAAAATCACTACGGTTTGGGTAAACATAGCGGACTGTGCCCCCATTCCTCTCCCGTAAATGCTGCTGCTATCCCGCACAGAACTGCTAGTAACACCGTAAGCAACGAAACCTAGAGTCCAGAACACCAACTGCTCTCCCAATACCACACGTGGCTCACAATTGAGTAATGCGGTTCCCAGTTCAATCGGAGTAACTACTCGTAAGGCTACTTCCAAACTCCCGACGGAGTACGTAGAAAAAGAGCAAGCCGGTACTAGCAAAAGTTGGGTCACAGTTGCTTCCAAGAAGAACCGTCATTTAAAATTAACAACAACCCCCAACTAGATCGGAAACTGAGGAACGTAGCGGAGTTTTCCTAGTACAAGCACCACCGGTTTCCTGCGATACATCTCTGAGTATTTCAATCACTAACCGCGGCAGGTCAAACGGTGTAAAGAAACAATTGCCTGTACTGAGCGTACTATGCTCCAATATCCCAAATTCAAAGTAGACGTCAATAAGAGGTAGGCGGTTGGGTAACCTCAACCAGTGGGATATTATTAGTAACCTAATCGGAGTTGTACTGAAACCTGTACGCGTAGTGCGTATTAAGCAAACACCCCAGCTTAAAGCATTTCGGAGCGCCAAGACTTCTGCGCGTTGTGTTGAACTTAATCATTGAAGTAGGATCAGTACTACTGTCGGTAAGTGGTCTCATAAATGAACATTGTTCCATTTGCATCTTTCCAGACATCCCATGGGGCAAGCGTTATCGAGTTAACCGTAACTTAGAGGACTTCTGGAAGGAAACTTTAACCAAAACCATTCTTCTTTACGGGGTTCCTGAAACCGAAGTATGTGATGAGCATGAAATAACAACCCATGATAAAGAACATTGGTATTATAATCCTGAAATACTCTGCTTGGATGATGTGTCAGCGAAATCCGTGTCACGACTTTGTACCTCACCGAACTACAAAGGAAGTGGCCCGAGAGTGTTGAAAGGGGTCCTTCAGTCAAAACATATGGTAGCACGGATGCTGAAAAGCTGGTACAGGTTGCGTTGTAGGTTACCATCTGAGGTTCGGTTGAAGACAATTAGCGATATGCCTCCTAGAGATGATTTGCCACTCAAAGAACAAAACGCGATGGGATATAGGAAAGAACAGTGCACCAGTAGTGTGTGCAAGGAGCCCATACAACCTTTAGAAGATAATATTGACCAGACACCTTACGCTGTAAGTCGAAGATTAGACACGGGACTAACTAGACGGACGATGAATAAGAAGCTAAAATACCTTTACCAAGTATACATCGAGAAAACGATTAGTCGCCGGCCACTCTGTGGTCGGCGAAACTTCACGTATGATTTGTACAACCTCTGAAACATTACTTAAATCTGAGAAGCTCTCATGTATGTACACTAACGCCCAAGGGCTCCTCAGTAAGCTTACCGGACTTCGACTACGCCAGGTTGCGAATGTTTGGGACCTAATTTCTATTACCGAAACTTGGTTACACCAAAAGGTGACTGACGCCGGGGTTGAGATAGCCGGAAAGTCACTCATCCGGAACGACAGTACCAGCAGAGGAGGTGTGGTCCTAATCTACTACAATAGTTGATTATTTGGAAACACACGTTACCGACTCACTCTGTTGCTGTCTCCGACTAAGACACAACGACGCATGTATCATAGCTGTCGTTTACCGCTCCCGAACGTCCACTCAGGAAACGGATTCCCGCTAGCTACGTGACCTGAACAGAGTAACACGCACTAGATACAGTCACATTATCGTCTCCTGGGACTTCAATCCACACGATCTGAAGGTATCAGTATCACCCAGTGAGCATTTCAAAGCAGACTTGCATGAACTGCTCGCTAATATTCCATTGTGCTATCATGTCACCACGCTTACTAGATTCAGAACAGCAAACAAACCGTCCATATTGGACCTTGTGCTCACGAATGAAGAGCTCATAGTTGATAAGTTATTGATGGATAGTCCATTAGTTCTCAGTGACTATGTAGTAATGACGTTACACTATGTGTGTTATGCAGAGTATCCACCTGAACATTCGGAACTAACTCATATAGTATCACGCTACCACGTATTGAAAGTACTCGCCGACGCAGCTGCTTGGGAATTCTCAAACAAAAATCCCCTTGACAGCGTTTGGACAGAGTTCGTTAATAGACTCAGCGACATCGTCAACAGAGTATGAGAGACCAATCCCCTTCGCCCCGCAAAAATGCCTACAATTCTAAAGAGCACGGCTCGAAAATGCCTGGCGATAGTGGATGCAGCATGGCTTACATACAAGATTAACCCCGACTCAGAGACTTGGGGCAATTTCCTGACCCATCGCAACAATTGCACTGCACTTCTCCGTGAGGGCAAAGTAGCCTGTCAAAGGTGCCTAAATAAAACATTCATGGCGAACAACAAACTGCTATATAGGCATGTCAATAATCTTAGTAAAGTGAAGCACTTTTCAAGACAGGCAGCAGAGTACAATGTACGATGTAGCAGCTAATGACCTGCGGCTACAATGCGCCCCAATTTGCAAACTCGCAGCCCCTACCTGTCGTATAAGGTCAGATATATTTTTCAACCCATCAGTTGTGCTAAGGAAGTTACTCTCACTGCTCGATCAGAGATCTCCGGGAGCAGATAACATCCTCCCGAAGGCACTGAAGGCTGTGGCCAACAAGCTAGCTGAAGCACTATCACATTTCCCCCCACTATTTTGAAGCGTGGCATTATTACCCCAATTTTTAAAGGCGGTAGCCGTTCAGATCCTGCAAACTATCGCCCAGTGACTCTCCTCCCTGTGCTCGCGAAGGTGATGGAAGCAGCTGTCGCTGAGGCTTTAATGAACTACCTGGGAAAATGCAACATCTTGGTACCGGAGCAGCATGGCTTCCGTCAACACCGGTCATGCACCACCAACCTACTGATTGCACGAGGTAGTTGGACGGAAGTGGTTGATAATCGGGTCTGATCTGACGTAATCTATCTGGACTTCTCCAAAGACTTCGGCCGCCTTTAGCATCGCATCCTACTTCAACGGCTACAGAATTACGGAATCGGAGATCCTGTACTTAGTTGTATTGGCAGCTTCCTTCACCAACGGAAGCTTCAAGTACGCGTTATGAGATCACTCTCTAACCCTACTGAGGTGGAATGTGGTGTCCCACAAGGCACAATGCTGGGACCGCGCTTATTCCTGGTGTTTATCAACGACCAGGAAAGAGTTATCTTCTTAAATTTCCTGCGCGTCATTAACTATAGTTGGTATTTTATCCATCAGGATAGAGAAAGAATGTGAAACAACTTCAACTCTGTGAAAATTTACCTTGTTGTGAATGGAAGATGTCGGTTACCTTAACATACGTACTGAAGAAAGGAAGTCATACAATATTCATCCGCTTCTATATTTCACCTGGTCACGCACAAATATTACATATGTAGGGTGGAATTTGTGTGTTAGCTGAAGTGTTGCCACCATACGGTGAGCATCAGGCAGCAATTAGCGCTTGTCGGTGCAGTATCAAAATCGTCAACCACAAGCTATACAAGTGGAAGCGAAAAAGGGAGTTAGATGAAGGTAAAGTAATTTGGTTAAATATCCATTGACGGCATCCGTGAACCCCTGTTGAGCCCGATTAAAATGTTTGGAAAAATTCAGTCGAATTTGCTTTACTCTCATATTTACCAAGCCTATGTATAAGACCACAATCGGGCTTTTGTTAACTCGTACTAGTTCATGCGGCGAACTTGAATGTGGCAATATGGTTGCGACTCTTTTGGCCACTGGTTAACGCCATACCAAATGAAGGTAACTCAAATGTGGACCAGAAAATTAAAGACAGTTTATGAGAATTTACAAATGAGTAAACAATATTGACCAGTCCATGTTTCTGGTGACAGCTTTTGTACTTAACATGGCGATACATTGTCAACAGTGTTTTTAAGACCAATGAGATAAACATCATACCAAAAGATGATAAACTTAGTCCGTCGCTAAAAGCACCCATAATACGTTTCTATTAAGAAAGTAAAGAACTTTGATTTGAGTTGCCAAGCATCCGAAAGTGTTCGTCTGAATTCGAAAGCGCGTAGACCACACAAATTTGCGTATTGCATTCAACTCTTTGTGTCTTCTATTCAGTTTTATCGGATGCGCCACTCATCTGCAAGGTACGGAAAGAAACATCTTCAGTAGACCTTTCTGTCACAGACGACAAGCGGTACTGATTAAGAAAAAGCTTTGATTTATGCTTCCATCACAGATTCTTCTCATTACTGAAATGTTTACAAACGGTAGAAAGAAGGCATATGTTCACTTCAGGACACCACTTCATTATTACGATTGTGCCTTTTGGAAGCTATACAGGAATAGCGTGCCCTTGTATTTTCAGGCATCAAGAGAAATTACGCATTTCCAGTGCAAATTTGAAATGATTTATTGGATGGATCACATCATACGGAAACCTCTGCACACACGTTACATTGGTTAGCAAATTTTCTCTCACCCTCAAGAGTAGGTTTGTAGCGACCTAGTGAATTTCATTTCACGTTGTACTCACTTAAAACAAGCAGTTACCTGCGCCTATCTGAACCAACGACTTCCAAACGCACAACTACCACTCTGCTAAAGCCAAGCGTTCTCAGCTAAGCACGACAGAACGCGTTTATGCGCCCGTAGACCTATCTCATTCCGGTACCATTGTTGCTAAGGTGACTGGATCAATTGCCCCATAATCGCATATTTAGTATAACTAAAAATCTATTGTCGTTGTTATGGAGCCATCGACCGTCCAACAATGTCGTTGTTCGCTTTCCTACTTTGTTTTGTGTCCCTGCACAACCTATTAGTTGCAGCAATTGTACCACATACATGCAAACCCATTATGACTAGTCCTGTCTGTTGGCTTTCAGTACATGTTCACTTCATGTACTAAAATTTCCACAGCTTTACTTAGTGCGTTGATAAAGAATCAAATCTTCGTGCTTTTGCATGCAGCGAAACAAACAAACAGCTGCAACATACCCACGTCAAGGGTGTGTATAATTTGCCGTATGAACGAAGGCTTCAAGTGCTTGGGGTCTCCAGCGGACAATATCGGCGATTGCGCGGGGACCTCATTTTGCCTTACCAGATTTTGAGAGACCCCAACCACACGTACCACCACTTGCTAGAGCTCAGTCAGGCGTATTTTCGACACCTATTTGCATCTAATTATGGGGCTAAGGTCGCAGAAGTTGTTCGCGAAATTTGCGCTGTATATGGAAAGAGTACCAAAGCTGAAAGAATCGCTAGTGCTTTGTATGCCAAGTTCAAAATAGAACTTTTGTCCCCAAGGACGCACCTCGTTCTGGCCGTCCTGTGGAGTTAGATGAAGAGTGAATAAACCAGCTTGCATACAACATTTAGGGACAAACGACGAGTGAACCGGCAGAGAAAATGGAATGTTCCTGCTTTACGATAGAGAAGCAACTTCACTCGATGGGACAAGTTCAGAAGTGTAAAGCATGTGTTCCGTATGCTTTAAGTGACGACTAAAATCAACGAGATACAATCTTCGCTGGTTTACTTACTCGTCAACGCTAGACCAAGGACCCAAGCAACAATTTATTTACCGAATCGTGGCCGACGGCGAAAAGTAGTGCCTGTAAATCAATATGAAGCCGCGCATTCCTTTTGCCTATGGCAGCCTCTACATACACAACACAAAGTCCCGAGTAGCTTTTGCGCCCTTAACACCATGAGTAAAAGCGGAAAGCTGTTGACAATGCGCATTTTTCTCATCTTTTCCACTTTAATGATCGGAAAAATAAGCAGAAATTAACATGAATTGACAGGAACAAAAAGCAAAATAGAGTAGAACATCGACTTCCGGATGATTTAAAACATTACGCTGAAAAGTTTCGTGGCATTTCAAATGTTAAAATTAAGAGACTGCAGGAACGTAATCGTCAACCCAATATGTGAATCGGCACCGTAGCTCATTCTTTGATTTTTGGCTTTGCCCATGGAGATTCTGCACGTCGTTTAAATCCCAAACCTAATGGCCAGTAAAAATTGACTTTATACAGTTTGTTGATCGAGTGCTTTTCATCGCACCATCGGTTAACATATAGCTTGGAAAGCAGACGCAAAATCCTCAGATGGGATCAGCACTTTTCGATATCCGGACCGACATTTTATCACACTTGCAATTTTTACACAGTGAGCAGGTCCAAAGCGCGTGTGATCTTTTGTATATTGATTCTCCTGAAGAGTCTCTATGTCTCGACTATCTGCGTCAAACCAAAACTGCTAAACTTTGGATGAGGTTCTTTGAGGAGTAAAAAATGATAGTTCAAGCTGAGTTGAGCGATATGCGGTGATCTCGTCCTTATAGTCACTTGTGTACTGAGGTGTAAAAGTGCAGCTAAGTTGCTCGCGGCGGCGTTAGATTTGTCTTGGTATTGTTTAAAATGGTTAGTTTTCTACTCATCAAAAGGAGTTAAACCATTAGAAAGTAGATGAGACAGTTTAATTTATCACAGGACAGCTAAAAACCTTACTTTGCTTTCTAGTGGCGTGCAGGCGCGTTTTCGTTCGCAAAGTTTAAAGGAGATACGAAATATTCAAAATTAAAGAATGTTAGTTTGCTTTTAACCTTTAACCTTTTAACCCTTACGTATCTTTCTTTTTATAGCTCGTTCGTTAATTATTCAACATGTACTAGGCTTTACTGTGACAAAGTGCTTTCATTCAACTTTACTACTCTATGAAAGGTTTTCATGTGTACGCCAGCGTGCTCTAGCGGTTGACCATTCTCTGACAAACGTGACGTCGGGGCAGCTTGGAACACTGGTGGTAGAATCTAGCAGCTGATATATTGTCAAATTAAACTTTCTTCATTAGGTGTTAGAAACCCTCGGGATTACAGCAGATATTTTAATTATGGCATGTAATGGATTTTTCACGAGCCCAGGGTTTAACTTTTAAAAACATTTAGGTGAAAGCTCAAACTAACCTGTTGACTGATATTTCAGGAAAACAAGGCGAAATTTAAATGTAAGGGAAAGTAAAACGAGCTTCACCTGGAGCATGAGCAAACATAGTGGGAGGAAATGCACTGTTTTATTTGCTGACGAAAGTGAATACTTTTGTCTACTCTGTATGGAAAACTCCAGCAATCGTTTTCCTGTTTAAGATATCGATGCAGTGTACGAACTTTGGTCACGCTGCATTTGAGAAATCTACGGATATTGCTAATAAAAATATAAATGTATAATTTTGACAGATTAAGTTCTTGGATAAATGTGATTTGCTTATTGCTCAGATATCAAATGTGCACTCTGATTTCTTTTTAACTGTGAATGACATTCTGTTTACGTATATAAATCACAAAGTATTCTGTAGTTCTTTTATACATACACCGGTAAAATGTATGTAATGAACATCTGAATCATTCTGTCCAATGCTTACTTGTGTTTTGCCAAGTACTCCGATGCTTCAGGTTTATGGCACAATTATACGGAGCATTGCTACAACGGGCCTTGATGTATTAGTGAAACGTTATAAAGTGGTGACGTTATTAACATGTACTTTAGCTTACATGTACTCCAATTATCTATGGTCTTAACCGTTGAGTCGATAGCTAAAAGATCCACTAAGTCAGTGTGTATATTTCTTAAAGAATAACAAATAAATGGCTGAGCTTTAGGCAAAAGTAGAACTTGGAAATTTTTTCCCAGGCTTACTTCACCAATCAGAAACAAAGACTACGGTTGACAGGAGACCATTTTAATCAAGTTTACGAGCAACGGCAAACTGCTTTATAGCTAAGTCAACAAAGGCCAATATTGGAATACCACCAATCACGACGGACAGTGGTCCCACGACTACTGTAGCGAACTCACTACGCCTACAATTCGACTTATTAGCCACAAGTACCATGAAACCTTCTCCTAATCCAATCCAAACCACTGTCGTCGGCTTATTCAGTGTCATTTTACTCCAACAGTTGTCGCAAGCAAATGCTAGTCTCAACGAGAATGCAGTACCCCAAGAATCGCCGAGAACTCCCAAAAGTTGCTTAAAATCTGGTATTACCATATCACTTCATTTTGCAATCGCTTCCAGTGTTCAGTTGATTCCCATACTCTCTTATCTGAGTTAAAAAGGAAATCATAACTACGGTATATAAAGGAGACAAGCTAATGGATCCTGCCAATAACTGATCTGTAACTATTCTTGTAGAAGCTTCCCAAATGTCTTATCCTCTGCTGTCTTCCTACCGCTGCTTGTTTCATGGTTGTGATTCCTTTACCGTTTTCTTAACTACTTTTCCTGTCCAATCGATCTTTGTTATCTGGCTCTCAATGGAGTTTGTGTTCAGTGCCAAGTTACTTATGTTTGTTTGCACTTTAAACATAAATATGACCTGCATTCAATCATGCATACATTAACCTATATTTCCAATTTCTGAACAGACCTAATTGTCGCTTAATTTACAACATTGTTCAACTCGAGCGGTTGGCAACAAAGATTTTACATTGACTATACCGAAGGCTAGAACGAACGTCCGCTCTAATTTCTTCCCGGTCAGATACAGCTATCGGTGAAATAAACTACCAATAACACTCAGGTCATGTGCCAATGTGGCAACATTTATTAGCAGACTCACCAATTACCTAGATGTAACTATTCTAAGCTGTATATTCACATGGGAAAAATCTCTCGATGGACAGGCCACTGAGCTGCGGGTGAATGTGGTGAACCCTATGACTGATATCTAACTGCGATATAGTGTGGCTTATCCTCCAATTGGTGTGTGGTGACTGTCTGCTTGAGTCTAGCTGAGACGAATATATCTTACCCTATCTGAGCTCGCCACTCATCATGGGACTAGGTTAAGCACCAAATCTAATGGATCTAATCTAATGTCTATAGTGGTCGACGTAACAAAGCTGGCTGGAAGGCTGTACAAACTGCTTCAACCCTTAGATGGGCCAGCGGTGGAAAGATATTAAGGACTCCAAGTTGCTAGTATAAAAATACTTAAAAAGGTCTTTTTCGATTCACCTATAACTTATGTTCCGTTCGAGGATATTCAACGCACGCAAACTTGTATTCACCAACTTCGACTAGGTCGACTTATAGTTTTGTCCTGAAATCATGTCGGTTACTTCACTAACGAGAACTCAAATGTGCTAACACATTCTTGGGTATGAAGAGTATCGTATTTGTTTCTCTCCAAACACCGAACTTCACGACCAACCGGTTTCATACCGATTTGGACTCCTCAGTTAGAGATGGTCTGAGCTGAGAGGGAAATTCGACACAGTGGTTGAAAACTTTCGTCTTAGTCTCTGCCAGAGCTCCACAGCAGCGCTTGGCATAGCAGTTAGTAGTTCATTATTGGGTCTTTTGGAGTGCGCAAAACGAAAGCAGTCAATCACTTTGTCCTGCGGAACCTGTTAAGCTTCAGCTATGTTACCCTTATGGTACCAATGTTCCATTGTTTCATTGGGTTCTCCTGTCAGCTCAAACTATCACTACCTGACGAGTCCAACTCAGTGTGAAACGCCACGCCGTGGAGTGCAGTTTTAGGAGAAAGCAGCTCCAATTCTCACCATCAGCTTCGGTTCCAGTGATCGAAATGGCATAATTTTGCTTCAAAGCAAACGGTACCTTTGATCCAGATTGCTTGTCACGATCCAGACACACCATGGGTACTCCGAGACCAAATAATGAACATATTTGTGTGACCTTACTATTTTCATACAGACTAGCCAGCCGGTGTTATTGACTGTTAGCCGTTTATCGGTTTACATACCATTTCTGCGTTGCTGTTAAGGCATACGCACACAATCAGAACAATGAAGTGCAGCGTAACTAGCCACCATGAAGTGCGCCACCACAGTGGTAATAACTAACGGTAATGGAATAAGAAATTATAATTCAAGGCAGCATTAAAAGAATCTGGGGTAAAACTTCAGATGCACAGCATTACTATGTTTTACAAGTTTATAATAAAACACTTGGGGACAACTGCAGAACCACTATTCATCCAGTGACTGTTTAGCGTTGGATTTGATCTTCAGCATCAAGGATTGCAGAACAGCTCCAAAACCCTAGCTGCGGAGAGGACACATACAGATGTAGTTATGTCTGTCAAGCAAATTGGCATCATCTGCTGTCAAGTCACCTCGTAAAATCCATATAGGTACTGTTTACACTGACAGGGTGCAGTGGCTGTAAATAACACGCAGTTTCAACAAGCACACAAAAACAAACAATGTAAGCGGTTCACCTACAACATGCGTTTAAGTATAGGTAGAAATTCGTCACATCTGGACTCACTCAGACAGCCGCCACACGCCCGGAAAAGCACTGTAAGCGCGTTTCATCCTTTCGGGAATCATCAGCAGTGTGCATTCCACCGGACCCTTGGTAGGGCTCGAACCCGCAACTCGACTGTTGTCAGTCCGTGGTTGAGACCACTGAGATACGGGGGACGGCAACGACCATCACGAGTTGCGTGATGTCTGATTGAGTCTAGATGTGACGAATTTCTACCTATACCATTAAACTCCCCCTGCTACTCTTCTGTAATGCGTTTAAGTGTGGCATTTAGGAGTCCGTGCACAAATTATTAGAAACAATTAGCCGTTGTGACAAATCTTGGCTGAGTGCCTCAAATTACCGCATTCCAATCGGAGCATGTGTATCACCACAGGAAGAGATCAAATAGTACGCGACTGGTTGTTGAGTTCAGCTTTGCGTCTACGCACCGCCAAGCATTTACTTCCTACTGGAATTCATGCATACCTAGTGCGTTCTCCGGGAAGGTACGAGCAGCGTACCGCCGGTGTCGATCGTCAGACTCAGCTACTCTCCGCTAACTCCAGCATGAAGCGCTTATGTATTTGATCCGTCTAGTAAAACCGGCCTTACCACAACGTTTTGATAGTTCTTTTTTTACCGAAAGTTCTTGTTCCCATCCTCTTCATAGTTGATGAAGCAGTTTAAGATCACACGCGGTTCATTGGTGTATACAACAGCAATCTAAATGATGTGGTCACTGAAGACAAAAGGTACAAACGGCAAGTATGCCAATTTGATATTTCCTATTGCCGTTTGATAAGGGATAGAATAATCTGACTGTTGGCCAAAGCTTCCAACTTTACCCTGCAACTTGTATCTACGTAGTATGTATCCTAACTCGAAGCGCTCAACGTCAACCTATCCAGAATACTTGTGTAGAGCTTGGATGGGGCAAAACGGCAAATTGGCCATTCGTGTACTCCTGGCTAATCGTTGCGAAAGAGGCAAATAGGATAGACCCGGTTATACTTCTCTCACTCAACAATCAAAATTTGTCAGGACCCATGTGCACAAGGAATGCCGGGCCATCGCGCGCAATATTTTGGTCTAAAAGAGTTCGGAAGAGAGATATTTCGTAGACGCACGGTGGCCCTTATAAGTCTTAGCCAAACGGTTCCACCATGATGAATATTTTTAATTACAACACCGTCAAGGATAGGAGGTACTACCAAACGTTTACCTATTTTTTTCCAATGACTTCCGCTCCAAAGAGGATCATATAGTGGGTCATCCGTTTTAATGTCACTTTTCTATCATTTGGAAAACTTAATTTAGTGTCATGGAGCTGAGCGCTTATGCATACTGCACCCGTTATGACAGGCAGAGAATTTACTTGTCAGTTCCATAACACCATTAGTAAAAGTTGTTTTACGAATAACGTCTATTAGTTTTGCCGGATAGTAGTCGCTTAATGAACGCGCTCACTTGCCAGTTTGTGACCTTAATTCTTACGTGTACAAACAGCTGCAAATGAAGTGAATGTTACCACATGGCGGGAAGATGCCAAGGCACCGCAAATTCTGGGAACTGCAGGAATACATTGTAATCAACCCAAAGGATAAACTTCTGGATTTGTTTATCATTGTGCTACCAGTGTTTTGCTAGATGACGGGAAGCAGCAAATATCGCCGCATGTCCAAACAAGCTGGAAATAGTCAGGTACTTTTTTTAACAATATCAATTCAGCTGTATTGACCGAGTTGTGTATGTATAGTCACTGAGAGCGTGAGGACTGTGAACTTGCCACGTAAACATCCACCGCGTCTACAACTAAGCACTAATATACTTAAAATAAATAGAGGAACTATGACAGCACCAAGCAGCAGCAACTAGACTAAAGCGGCTTCCACCAGATACCATCACTTATTGGGAGAAAATTTTCGTAGTTCACTTACGTATGTAGACTCCGTTGTTTGAGGTCTTGAGGACCACCCGGGACTACTCTTTACAAGTACTAGTTTCGGGGTTCTTCGCATTGGCTTCTGCATTCCTTGGCTGTTATACATCATTTGTTCATAATACTCATGACCCGACTCGATATCAAAGCAGAGAAGTCCAGTTTGCACCGTGATTAACGTATCAAATCCCTCAAAACAAAACCGAGATCCTCTGGTCTGGTTGACTATGGCATCTAGCTTGGCCTCAGTTTGTGCCACTCCACGTCTGTCTGCTAATCGGGATCGCATCATCTGGTACTTCCATAGAGGCATTACGTCTCTGCGTTGAAAAACTGCATGCAGACGATGAATTGCAAACATTGGATCCTGATAAAAATACGTGCTTTCTGGCAGGGCAAGTAAAAACGTACGCCCAGTTATGTTGGACCTCTCCCTAATATAGACCATTTTATCTTCCGTCTGTACTGCCACAGTTTCTTTGAGTTCCGCTCGATTCATCATGACATCCTCCATGTCAAAGTTGAACTGAATCAGATCCAGTCCATATCGACCAACTACGGTGCCCTTGTTCATTTTTGATTCGGATGTAGGCATTCTTAATTCAGCCATCTTAGCGGCAACATCATCTCGAATGCGAAGCCTTGTACTTACAATTGGAAGGGGAGGAGTTCGGATGCAGATCAAAATGTTTTTATATAAGAAATACAAACGGCCTCGTGCAGAAGCCTTTCTGGGCTTACTACTGGTTCGTTTCCGTCTGGTTGGTGCTTCATCAGTGTAGACTCGTAGTGGCGGTAGAGCCGATTTTGAGGACTTAGAGTCTAGGTCTGGCGTACTGAGTACATACCGCTGTCTCGATAAATGGGCCATCATTTCTTTCACACGTGATTGATCTCGATAAGATTGGTGTTCCGGTTGAATCTTCTTTTCATTTTCTTGTTGTGGAATCCTGCGTTGATGGATGTAGAGTGGTGACAGTGTGGTGTTTTTTGTGCGAAATCTTACTTGGAAATAGATTCCGGGTTGCCTGCAAACGTAAACTATGCTTTTCGGTACTACGGTGACTTCGGTGCTCGTAACGTCTGACTGCAACTTCGTACTATTTCTGCTTCGTGGACAAGAGCGAGGCGACTTTGGAGGCTTAAACAGATATCGCTCAAACGGATCAGTTGAAGCTGGTCTTGGGTGATCACGTCTTATCTTGGATTCTGTAGCTCTGTTGGAGCCGTCTGAATTGTCTAGCGCAGAAGCGTACCTACGTCCATCGTACTCCGAATCACCTTCCGAGAATTCGCCTCCTCTGGCGCTAATATTAGTGTTTGTTTGTTGGCGGTAACGTCCACTTAAGATCATTTGGTTTATATCGGTATATATTTGGCCTTCCTCCACCTTCACTGGGACAATGCATTGTAATGTAGAACTTTTATTTGCATTCTTATCTATACCAACAAATGTATTCACTGCATCCAACGGTGTGCTTTTCTGGGCGGATGCCGAGCTTGGAGACTCAGCGAATTGGCTGAATCTATCATCGCACCCAATAGTCGCGTTTGGTGTTAGATAGGTGCAGGAGTCATTCGCATCCAGTTCAGTGGATTGATACGTTCTGTCAAAAGAGCTTACGATAGGCGTTGTGTTCCTATGTGCTTCATCATTATCCATAAATAGGTTCAAGCGCAAAGGTTTTTCTTTACCGATCTCCTCACATAATCCAGCATATATTTTGAACTCGTCTGGTCGATAAACTCAAGGAACCGGCAATGACTAAGCTAACCAAAACCCACGTGATGCACGCCGTCGCAGCTGTAGCCAATTTGGACTTTAGGAAGCTACACAAGAAGATTTGGGACAACTATACAGGAATACGTACGGTGATCAACGGTATAAACAACAACAAGGACCGATTTACAAGGAAGTATGACCATATTTTGTAGGTGTTATTTGCAGATTTTGGATTTTACTTTTGACTGAGAAAGGACGGCTTTATCAAGAGAAATAATTTTTCACTGAAGACCGACAAGCAACCCCATGTCAATACCTGCCTTTACTGATGGAAGGCTAGGTGGACCTCTGAACACTGCTGTTTGCATAGGACTGCAAACTATCTACTGAACGGTTAATGCCAACTTCATTAAACTGCATGGCCTAGTGAAGAAAAAGCACTCACAAATTTGCGCTATTTACGCTAGATTTACAAGAAACAATGAACAGTGATTGATCACAGGTAAAATAGCATGTGCTTGACAAGTCCTGTAGAGTGGTTGGAGTAAAAATTAAAATGGAAAAGATGATAGACTTAGTAAAGCGTTATTTTAAGCGTCTATGGATTTGAATGCGCTATTTCATAACAATAGGTTGAAGTGGAAATGGGATGTGCACATACAAAATAGTATGGAGAGCTGTTTTAGTTGGGTAAATGCGTGAGAAAAAAAGCAGGAAAGGACAACGCTTATTCGCGTGTTGCTTCTTTTGACAGGTGTGGTACGTTAAACCAGTTTAGATACATCTAAGCTACTCGCATAGAACATTCTGCATGTATCCCCCCCGGCACGTTGCAGAAACGGCCGTTATGCACATGGTTAGGTTTGCGTTATTTCGTCCTCCAAGTGGAACGGACTATATCAAGTAAAGCAAGTTGGAAAGCGTACCATCAAGGAATTTTTTGAATAGCGTAACTGTAGGGTCAAGGATAACGGGATTCGGAAGGGCATTCCAGGCACCGAAAACAATGAGGGAGTAAACCTTTTATCGACAATCAAGTCGACTGTACTGCGTAGCCAGTTTAAGCTGATGGCATCTGTTGCGTCGCCGCTGACGCCTTCACCCCATGACGGCAAGAAGAAGTCCAAGGACGGGTCAGAAAGAGACTTGTATACATTAAAGCACATTTGCTTATTTAGTTTTGAAGGCAAAATGAAGGGAAGCTACTAAAGTACACTTGTGCCAACCAACAGAAGGAAAAACTTCAAATGCAATGGCGAATAAGCAACCGTGTACTCAAGAGCGAATCGCATATGTCCTTAAAAATAGCATCATTGGACTCCAAGCGTAAAGCGAACGTCCATTTACCGTGACGGGCACTGGCCAATCAGAATGACGAAATGCAGCGTTTAAACAAAAATCACTAAACAAACGAGAATAAGAAATGCAGACCCAAGGATTAAAAACTAGTACAATAAGCGTGTGCCAACTAAATATTCCTTTAACGCAATCCAGTATAACAGTGATGAGAAGAAAAACCAATGGAATGTATTCTTGCAAAAGGCACTGCTGTAAAGGACATGACGAGCAGCGTCCGTCAACAATGACGTGTGTGTACCAATCGGCCTAACCCAGTAGAGCGTTTAAACAGCATTTAAGAAGTAGAAAATAGGAAGATTAAAGAATAGCTATTAAGCACGTTCACAACAAATGAATGTTTAACAGCTGTTCTCCCAATGGACTCTCAGGTTGCTATTTTGGCTCAGCTGCAAGAGATCGTGACATGAGTGAGTTGGGTTCGTCAGTATTAAGTAAACCGTGAGTAGATCCCCTCTCTGACGTTGACCTTCACCACTGTACAACCTCAGGGACCGCAGTCTGCTCTGGTAGGATAGATGAAACAATCCTCTAACGAGTTTGGTGGCTCTACGTTGTGGAGCTTCAAATACATTGATGTTGCCCTTGCGCCAGGAACGCCAAGCCTAGATCGCATATTCAACTTGGGGCCTCACGTAGGTCTTCAGCATTTGCGGAAAGGTTTATGACTCAAATTTTCCAAAAGCCCTTCTTTAAGAGTCTAAGATGTTGACTGGCAATTTTGATGCTTTTTCAGCCTGTCTGGAGCAACCAAGATCGTCCTGCACGATCATCCGAGGTCGTTCTTTTGGGAAGCATGCTGTAACTGCGGGTCTCCAGGTTGATATTCATAGATAAGCTGTTGGCGTATGCTTACGACTTTAGACTTCGCCACGTTGAACTGAAGACTATTATCGGATGACCACACATAAGCCCTGTCGCGATCGCTCTGCATTACCACGTGAACTTTTCTAACGCAAGTCTAGGCATAAGCACATGAATTAGCAATAAGGGACACTACACATGTACAGAGTTGGTACTCTCCATACCTGAGTTTCTGAAACAGTTACCATACTAGCCAATCCTAAAGCCGATGCCTATTATCTATTTTATCCCCATTTAACTTTCTAGGTCTTATGTGAGCTCGCTCATAACTGTTCTCGGTAATGGTTTTCTCACCAACATCCTATCTTTTGTCCGCACACTCTTTGCTGTGTGCTTAGTAGTGAACTTTCTAACCAGGAAGTGGCTGGACCATGACCAGAATAGCAGTGCCGGTTATTTGGGCGGTCAGCGGGACACACAACAGTCGAGGGAATAGAATGTGCTTATAAGATTTTATTCTCCGTCTTGTACAGCCTATCAATTATGGAGCTAGGTAGAGCATTTTACGTTTGTTCTTTTCCCTCAGGAATCTTCGGCCTTTCATATCCCACAATATTTTTCTACTCAGCGCGTAGAACACGGTTGAACTAACTAAGGAATGGGAAGCAGTATATGTAAATGTTGGATGATCAGCCGCTATCGTTAATTTGCCATCTCAAGGATAAGGATATGTTATCCTCGCCTTAGGTACCCATAACTGGTTGTGGCAATTGTGAAATTTAATTAAACATACTTGCCAGTACGAAGATAATCCACTGCCAACAAAATTTACGTGTACTAGTATACGCGTGCCTTCTTTTGTTCTTCGTGCCTGAGCCCGGAGGTATCCATCAGTAGACTACACGAAAAATATGGAATAACCTCGATCAACTTGTATAGTCATATTATGAACACTGTCTTGGCTTCTTGTTTCACATTCTGGTTTCGTGCATCGAAACATAAGGTTGTTCGTCAGGCATTATTAAATGAAGTGGAATGCGGCCATGTACAATCCATATCGCTAACATTTGCCTCCGTCTAGGTTACGCGAATTCTGGTCAGTTCATATCACCTGCGGTGAAGCCAGTAAATGTGCAATTTTAGCTTCAGGTCCTGGGCCATCCTCGGACGTGGCCTTGTTAATGAGTCTTAGACACCGGCATCTGTTATGCTCCGTGGCCCACACCACAGCGGTCTCAGCATTTCAATGATTTTATAGCAGAAACAATTATTGCCTATGGAGATTACAGTCAACCACCGAAGCCAGTGGTGTATTGTTTCTACCAGTGAATAGTCGTAACTACCATCTGCCTGTAATGCGATACAAAGTTCAACAGTAGGTCACGTTGTCAACGATTCTCCTGCACAATGTTTGTGTCTTGTAATCCGTCTGATGGATGAAAGCTATCTGAAACAATATTGTTCTTCAGCAGTGTTATTTAGTTCGGAATTGTCGAATATTTTGGTTATCTGTTGCTTTGAAGCCACCAAATAATTTTGGTGACGGGCCGATTTGAACAGCAAAATGAGAACAATGAAAGAAGCACTATGGTGAAAGTCATACTTCTTTAACTACTGCGAACAATTACTTCATGTGCTCGCCAGTGCAGTAAAATATGTGGACTAACATGTTGAGTACAGCCCGCTTTGTAACTGCGGTTACTGCAAGTGAGATAAGTTGAATATACTGTGCAACTAACGCCAAGACAAAAGAGGTTTTTTGTTTCCTCATTTTATCTCTTCAAATCGTCTTTTAAATTTTATATCAGCAGACTTCATAAGCTGGAACAAAGTCATTCATATTCTTTTTCTCTTCAAATAATCGTCCCTGCGTTTATCATGCTGAGGCTGATGTTGCATTCATGATGCTTCTTCACCGCAGTTGGGCTAGACCACGTTACCTATGACCATACACACTTTAATCTAATTAGGTCGACGTTATTTACTTTGATTTGCTCAGTACTGTCTCCACCGCACATACTACTGCGGTCTCCTTTTATGCCTAGTCGTGACGTGCTCTTATTCCAGCGCAGTGTTATGCCTGAGGTGCTCTCAATGGCCAAGAATGATGCAGAATTACTACGGCGCATAAGCGCAGTGCTCCATGCATCCTAATGGATAGATGGTGCGGATCAAATTTCTGCCAGCATGCGTGGACCCACATGGAAACCCATAGTGAGCCAGCCGGATAGAAGGAAACGTTTGAGATTGTCGATACTGCTCCGTTTATTGCGCACTTACTATTCGACATGAAAATGCACGTAACATGGAAACTTTGGCTGTTATCCTTACCTACAAATAGATGTGATACACGTTCAACTTATTAGGGTTTTTGAGGATAAATGTTCTCCCATTGGGATGATGATAGATAATGCACAATTGTGAGCCCACCTGAGTCCAGTGCATTGTTGTGAACATGCCGCAGTTCTTAACGCTCAGACTGACTACAACCTCAATAACCAGACGCATGAATACAGGTTACCATGCACTGTAGGAGTTTTCCTTCCTAGGTGTCAGTATCCCCACACAGTGACTGGAGCTCAAATGCATGGGAACACGTTCGTTATTCTCGAACGACAGTGCTTTGCAATCTCAATCACCAGGGCCACACAATGCACGCAGACTTAGTGTCCGACCAGAGTACCAATCGTATTGGGAGTGACCTCGAATAGTCATCAAGCGTCCATGTGAGTGTTGCTCATTTGCAATGTCCGTAACACATAGGCCCTCCTCTATATGCGAAGTTGATTGGCCACAAACGTGTGTGTGTGCATGTATGTGCCGGATTCAAAGGAACAATCATAAAACCCTTAGATTGATTGCCCATCCTCAAGTATACCCATCTTAAAGGCCAGCAGTAATGGTGACGTCG